CCTGTCGCCGTCTCTGTTCGAAATCTGCAATTGCAGTCATTGGCGGAAGGATCAGCTTTACGTGGGTTGTGCCTCGGCTCGGCACAGCGCGGATGAACACGATGTTTGAGGAGAGTGTGTCTGTCATTCGCAGCCGGTGTGGATCCTGGCATTCGCAATCACAGATTATACTTTATTTTCTTTTTTTTATTTAACCCTTATTTAACCAAATCCTTTGAGAACAAGTCTCTTACGAAGGAGCCCTGGCCAAGAAGGCCGCAATAAAAGTTCCACATAAAATACAATATATAATAAAAACAATAAACATACAAGACATAATACATTAACAATACAATGAATCAGCCACGCTTAAAAAAAAGATATAAAAAAACTCCAATGACTTTATACATACAGAAATACAATGTAACAAATCACAATACAATAGACTTATCCTAATTTGGGAAGCAGGGACAGGTGCCCATTGTGCCTGCTTCCCAATACTTTACTAGCCTCTTAACCCTCTGGGGTACTTTGGTCATTTCTGACCGGATTTTTTTAAATTAAAAAATGTTAAAAATCGTAGCTTCGTCGGAATGGTACAAAACTTGGTGACTTTTATGGTACTTGGTATACGAACACACAAAAAATTGGGGACAGGATTTGAAAAGTCTAAGTGGTCATAAAAAAAAGAGTCACACTCAGGACCTTCGGTCAAAAATGACCGGCCATAGGAAATGAATGGGAAATTGGCAAAAATATGAAAATACAGAGTTTATTTGTGCGTACAATCTACAAATCAGCCAAGATGCAGGAAAAAAGCACACAACAGTGAAGGGGGGAATCTCTAAAACATCAAGAGTGCAAAACAGACAAATACACTCACACACACACACACTTATACACACAAAAACACACACATGTACACAAATGAACGCGTGTCTTGCAAAAGCTAATTTTGGGAAACGTGTGAAATAAAAGCAATTATTCATCAATGTAAGAAATAAAGCGCACAGCAATGAACGCATGAGACTGTAAACAATCAAGGTTGCAAAACACACACACGCACACACACACACACACACATAGGGAAATATGAGACTGGTGAAACTGTAACAGAGAAATGTGAGAATATGTGAAATAAAATCAATGAATCAAATAAAGGGGAGACATTGGGTCCAAAATGCAAAGGTCACACACTATGTCTCTCTCTCTTGAACACACGCACACACACACACACACACACACACACACACACACACACACACACACACAGTGTAAGATCAAACGATGGAATTCTTCCTTAGTAACCTCCAGGCCATTGCAGCACATATGTGCTCTTTTTATGCGTTTATTCGAGGTTGAATTCAAATCAAATACTGCCAAACCACCCATACTACTTCTGAATAGGATGTCTACTTCAGAAATTGTATGAAAATTATGGAAATACATGGTTCAGATCACTCAAAACATATATGAAAATGGAGGCGCCCTTATATGGTCAGTAAGGAAGCTTGGCGTTCCATGCATCTAGTGAAAAAGTTTGGTATGCGCCAAAATAAAATCTTGACTGAAAGCTTATTTTTTGAGATATCAACCTAAAATTTGGAACACAACTTCTTAAGATTTTTGGCTTTCATTTTCTTGCAGTTTTAGAGTAAAATATATTTTGTAATATATATATTTTATATAAAATATAAATAATTAAATTTTTACATTGTTCATTTTCATTAACTCAAACTTACATAACTTTTTTTTCTGTTTCACTTTCATAATTTATTTCACAATTTATTTCATATTTTTTTATTTTACAATAATCTGGCAAATGTCTTCTTTAAAACAAGACCAACCATAGGTCTATATTCCAAAGCATTCTTGACTTACAACCATTTAAGTTTGGAAAGTGATTTTCATGTCTATGCGAAAATAATAGAATTGTTATTTTATTTTATTTTTTAAATAAAATAAAACAACCAAACAAACAAAAAACTTGACAAAAATAGTCTTTGAGAATCACTTATTATAAATTAAAATCCACAACCTGAAAAAAATAGGCAAATATGTGCAAAAACAACTAGAATTCACAAGCCTTTCTACAGAGGCTGTAAATCCATCCAGTGGTTAAAATATGATATTGCATGATAATTATGCTCACTACATCCACCAGATGGCTCCAATGTGATTTAAAAAAAAAATTTCTATAGGCCAAGGATCCACTTTAACCTGAAATACAGCATTAATTAAAAAATAATAAAAATAATATATATATATAAATTTTCTATTATATTCAATGGGAAAAATTTATCATAATTATTGCATAAATATTAATTATTTTCATAAAATTCTCTCAAAACACCAAAAAAAAGAAAGAAAAAATATTATTGAACAAAAACAAATTTCATTGATTTTACTGAAAAAAAATAAACATTGATTTCAGGGGTCCGGTCCATTTTGACCGCGAAGGTCCTGAGTGTGACTGGAAAACGAAGAACCCCAGAGGGTTAAAGTGACCAAAAGAGACCAAATTATCAAGTTTTAAGTCATTCTGTAACCGGTTCCACGCTGATGGGGCAGAAATTTTAAATGCTTGCTTCCCTAACTCTGTTCGGGCCCTAGGCACAATCATGTGGAGATTATCATTAGACCGCAGAGAGCGAATGCTGGCCTTGAAGGACATAAGCCTACATAAATAAGGCGGCAATGTCCCAATAATGGATTTATATATAAACAATCGCCACCGGGTTAGCCGGCGCTGAGCAAGGGAGGCCCACTGGACCAGATCATACAGAGTGCAACAATGTGTAAAGGGTTTGCACCCTGTAATGAATCTCAGTGCGCCATGATAAACTGAATCCAGTTGGTGCAAATATTTATTCGGGGCGTGCATATATAAAAAATCACCATAATCAATAAGAGACAGAAAAGTAGCCTCAACCAATTTCTTCCTTGTTACAAGAGAAAAGCTGGCCCTATTCCTAAAATAGAACCCAAGCTTTAATCTAAGTTTCCGGGCTAAATTTTGGATACGAGCCTTAAAAGTCAAATGTTCATCAAGTAAAAGCTACTTATACTCAGCCACACGCTCTATTAGGTTTCCCTGCAGGGTTACAATGTTTGGAGGGATAGCTGTGGAGTTCCTATTATTTGAGAACAAGACCGTCTTTGTTTTATTTGCATTCAACACAAGCTTCGAGTCAAGAAGCCAAGATTGTACAACGTCAAAGGCATCCTGCAGGTACTGAAAAGTCTGGTGAAGGGTTTCTCCACAACTGTAAACAATTGTGTCATCAGCATAAAAATGAAACAGAGCATTATGGACATTTGAACCAAGATAATTTACATAAATGGTAA